TAGTAAGAAAAAAAGTTTTAGAAGAAATCTCTTCACATTTAGCTTAATAGTAAAATTTACTTATAAAATTTGCAGATTCTCTCTAGATGATAGATGAATTGTCTATTAAAATATCAAATTTATTGTATTTAATAAAATTCAAGCTAATTAAAAAAATACTATTATAATAACAAAGTTAAGTTACTGATTTTTTGTTTATAAAAGATAAATTATTTGATCCATATCTCTAGCAACGTAAAGAATAGCAGTCAATTTTTATCATATTTAAATAATAAAAAAAACTATAATTACAAAATTAAATTACTGATTTTTTGTATATGTCTCTAGCAATATAAAGTTTGAAAAAACAGAATGATATATATTTTATAAGCAGAAAAAGCAGTAATACAGAAATAAAGCAGTATTTTTGCAAGATTTTTATATACATGTTAGAAATTTCTGAAACTTTTTTAATTATCATAAATAGTGTGATCTATATTACCCAAATTTGGTAATATTCAAGACTGAAATATTATTTAATATTTATATCTATATAATTATCTGCAACCTAACCACTTTAGTAGATTTAGGTTGCAGATAAATTAGATTTAATAATCTAGCTTGATATAACCCTCTGTTACAGACAATAGCTTTAACCAGTGAAGTGGACCACACTTGGGTACCTATAGAGAAAACTAAGTAATATTAGATTTACAACTTAGATAGTTTAAAATATACTTGTATATATGTTTTGATCTAATAAAAAATACCAATAAGGCTGCTAATAAATTAGAAAAAAAAAAAAAAAAATAAATTATTGTTTAAAAAGAAGGATAAATTGGAAAAAAAATTATCAACTGAATATAGTTAAAAATCTTTTTGAAATAAAACTTTCTTATTATGATTTCACTGGCTAGCTTGGTACAACTTTAGTATAAGCAATGCCTTATCTGGTATAAAAATTTGCACTTGAATATCCATAGAGGCACTTAAGTGATATCAGATCTATAGCTTAGATAGTAAAATATATTTTTGAATATATATGCTTTGATTTAATAAAGATACTGGTAAGGTTGCCAATAAAAAAAAAAAAATAGATTAAAAAATAAAATTCTAATAGTTATAAAAAATTGGAACTATATGAAGATCAAAATTTATGTTTTATAATAGCTAGAACAAAAAAATAGTGTAATTATAACAAGGTTGTAACTATATCAAAGTGACTATAACGAGATCTAATATAAAAATAAGCTTAATTATTAAAATACAATTAATAGTATATATGTCATAGGTGGAATTTTTAAGGTTAGGGTGGGATTTTTAGTATAATTTTCCGTTCTAATCTAAGTGGATCCCGAACCCTATTATGGTTCCATTCCCACTTACAGCATATGTATATAAAGTTAAAATTAAAACTTTCATTTAATTGAATTATATGGTGCACGTGTCTATACTAGAGCTGCAGGTGAAACTAAATCACACTGGTGAAACTGGTGACTATCTAAAATCTGATTGGCTATTGCATTAAATAACCAATCAGATTTTAGATAGTCACCAGTTTCACCAAGTTTCACCAAGTTTCACCAGTTTCACCAGCAACTCTAGTCTATACCCAACAATCACATGATAATAAAATTTAAATTCAACTTTTTATAAACACGTCATTTTAAAAACTGACCGGTAACTTTGTAGAGATATTGTGAAGAACAAAGTTACCAGTTAGTTTTTCAAAATTTTGATTATGCGATGAGTTGATAAGTTTTGAAGTTTATATGATATGGAAACATAACAATTTTCAAATTGCTTAAACTTTTTATGCGATAAGTTTTTTAAACAACTAATTGGTAACTTTAAAAAATTTATTGCCGGTCGGTTTTTAAAATAACTATTTGCATAATTATTTGAAAATTGAAACAACTCACGTAGTATACGTACGTACGTACGTACGTAGTACGTGAACCATAGTAGTATTTGTTAATGTCGCTCAACTATTTATATTTACAACCGGTATTAAAAAGTTTTTTTTGTATTCTAGAAGTATATATAAGACTTTGTGTAACTAAAGACGGTACTAGATTTATGTTGTATTACAATTTGGGCACCAATAATAAATCAGTATAAAGCAAGCATGTGATATTATTATATCTTATTCGTTTCTTTCCAAATGCATTTAGACATTCGATGAAATTTTCTGTTGTGATCAAGAATTTACTATGGCTAATGGTTATGTAATCAAATCTATCAGTTCACGCCCCGCATCGACTTCAAGATCTTGAATCCCACCATTTTCTAGAGCCGATAATTTATTAGTAGATGTAGCCGAGACGTTAAATGTCTCGGCTTAGCCATTTGACTCGCGGCTCGTATTATAACGGCAAATAAAATTACAAGAATCGACAACCAGTTAGAGGGTATAGTCAATCATAACGAATTATTTTTTTCTTCTTGATTTTCCTATAGTTCATTACAAAGAGTTGACTGTATAATAATTGTCAATTGAAATTTTCTTTCCACTTTTAGTTTTGAGAAATAAACATTTCAACTATCAGAATTGAAATTTGGGCATTCGGAATAAAAAAGGATTCATTTTGATAAGGGTCAAATTATTAAGTAATCTTGGAAGTCATCGCAATCCCTTCAGTAATGCATGAACAACAATGTAAATCACCAATTGTTTAATTACTAAACGTAAACATAACAATGCATGGATAACGATCCGAAGAAAGAGATGGTTAGTTCCCTGCACCGCCAGTATTTCCGAATCAGTTAATCAGAAAAAAAGTAAATCTACCTGATGATCTTTGGCACTCTAGATCGCACTTGTAACGTAATCACATGTAACTTACAAAATTTGTTAATAGCTTGCATAAAGACAGAGAACATGGTGAACTTTAGTAATTTTAAACGGCTTGTATAATCGGTCAATTCCTTCACGCCTTACGAAGCATCATTACGGTAATAGATGGTCATTTAAGGGACATGAAAGTTTTCCTCTTTAACGCAAAATTCATATTAGAAGAATTTACCTGAATCAACAAAAAGCGTAAATATTAAGTTATTGTTTTACGACAGAAAAACAGCATATCGGTATTAGGCAAAGAATCAACCTTAATAAGTTAAGGGACTTTGTCTACGTATCAACTGTTTGTGTGACCAAGTTCCAAATAATTGTGGGGTATATCTCTCGGATCCAATTTCAATTTCGGCCACAAAAATGGTGACATCAGTGAATTTCCTTTTAAGGCTTTGTTTTCCTCACAATTCCGCCCGGTTTGCCTCTTGTGGTTATTTGTGCATCGCAGCTGTTCAGACACAGTATTTTTTTTTTTTTTT